AGATCGACCAGTCGCCACCCTCGCCAGACTATCGGACAAAAGGCCAGAGCGACGAGAAGGAGCATTTCCACATCCTTCCTCAGCTCCAGGCCAAGAGGGCCGACTTCCTCACCGTCATGCTCACTGGTACCTTGCCTCAGCGCCGGAGCTTTGCCACGCCAGACGAAGAAGTCCAAGAATGTCCAGGGCCAAAGGATGACGATGTCACAAAAAGTGAGTCCAACAGCGAGGCCAGTCAGAAGAGCACTGAACGTAGCCAAGATGCTGCACCTTCAACACTCATGGCCGAGGACCAGAGGGGTCAAAGGGAGCATGCCTCAGCTGCTGATGCAGACCCTGACTTGGAGGATGCTTCCAAAACCCTCGTCCTCTTCTCACCTGGAGACACTCGTAAGTCTCCCTCTGGTGGTGATCATGTTCTAGAGGGTGAGTTGGCCACACCATATGCTCTCAACTCCCGCACCGACCGCCTCCTGGTTGGGGAGGCGATTCAGCCCGAACCCTCTGAGACTGGCCGTTTGTCCCCGGCTCTCAGGTCAGACCTGAGGCCTTCCACTCCCATCGCTCCTGCATCACCACCCTTCACCAAAGTTGAGCGCACTTTCATCCATATTGCAGAGACATCACACCTCAATGTCATGTCTTCCAACGGTCACTCTGCCAAGGAGAGTGATCGGGAAGTCTTGGCCATCGTGAAGGCATCAGCTGTAGAGGACGACACCCGTGATCAGGAAGGGGCGCCAGTGACAGAAGAGTCTCCAGAGGATGCGGTGCAAGAACAAACTACACCAGTTGACAAACAGCCAAAAACTGAGAATGGGCCATCACCTGTCCTGGCCCAGTCTTTGGAGCCTGTCCCAGAAGCCATGTCACCAGTTCATGAACGTACAGATCTGTCACAGGAACCTATGAAACAGCCATTACCCAGTGAAGAACCTGCCAAGCTTCAGACAAAGGGATCAGAACTACCGGCTGCCACAAAGCCCAGAATCCGAAGCCGAATCCCAGTACTCATCTCTGAAGAGGACTCGGGCTCAGAGCAGTCCTCCTCCCTCTCAGCTCGGGCTCGGCTTCAGCAGCGAGCCAGGCAGCTGGACTTGGCACGCATGCTAGTTCAGAAGCAACAGGGCCGCTGGATGAGGAGGAGAATGTTGTCTGGGACGTCATCATCCTTGTCCTCTGGGGATGATGAGCGTCGGAGGGCTTCTGAAACTCTGTCCACCACCGGCTCAGAGGAGGACACACATACCTCGGATGAGTCTAAGAGGAGCTCCCGTCTCAAACCGACTGAAGAGCAAGGCTCCAAGGAGTGCAGGAGCAGGATCCCCAGGCCTGTGACCCCCGTAAAGAGGCCATCAGGGGGGCTTGCTGCCTCTGCTCCTTCTCCTCTGTCCTTGCCAGAATCCAGCACTACCAAAGGAGCATCATCCTTCACTAATGGGTATGATTCTGTTTCTTCTTTTTAGTGTAAACAAATGTTGATTTTGTAGCTGTTTGATCAAACATTTTTGAAGAATTTGAAGAAATAATACCTTCAGTTTTTCTTTTCTGTCTACAGGAGTCAGAAGATTGGACTAAGCACTCTCGGCACTCAAAGGAAATCCAAACCTGTCTCGCCCAGGTCCTCCTCCTCGTGTCCCCGTCCATCTGCTGGCCCGTCCGGCAGCCCTCGAATGCCCCTGCGAGTCCTGTTTGGAACCCGACGCAGCCTTAGCTCCACCCACTGCAGGACTGACAGCCCCTCCCCTCAAAGAGTATGTCCGTCCAGGCAGCCCCTCTCGGTTCGAGCCCCAACTGTCCCCATGCTACCGCCCAGGACTACAACAACCATGCGGCGCAGCGCCTCGCAGGAAGCCACCGCCCAGACCTCCTCTGGCACCACGCCCGCCAGGACCAGGCCAAAACCAGCCGGAGCGGCTAAGGGGAAACCGAATGCCAGGGAGAAGGTGGTGCCCGCTAGATAATACAAAGAGACTCACAGCTGAGACATGTTTGTGTATAATCAGTCTTCGGACAAGCTACGCCTCAAAGGTTCTCACCTGATTCCATATTAGACTGTGATGTTACAATCACCTCCTTCAGTTCATCTAATGTACACAGACCTCTTATTTTTTCCAAGGACAGCTTACTGAACTATCTTCATGGGCTTCCAGTGATCTTGACTGACTGTCGTACAGGAGCGTTGCTGCCATGGTGCTATGGATGCGTCTGCTGCTCCCTGGTCAATCCCTGATTTAACTGGTTTCTGGAACTGAGGATCATGGTCTCCAACAAGTCCAGTTTCAGAGACTCTCACCTTACACAGTACTCCCAGCTTGTCCACAGCTATACTACTCTTCTATTGACAGTACCCTGCTTGGTTCACATTGCATGGTAAAGTATATCACAAATACATTGAATCTGTAGAAGGAAAACAACATGTACAAAAATCTGTACCTTTAAATTATTTGATATAGTTCTTCCCTTCCTATTGGGATAAACAGGCCCAAAAAAGACCAAATTGGACTGGTTTGAATGCCCGAATAATGTTAATATGATAATAGAGTCCTAACTATACCTGTACTCATTATGCTCTTGGATAAAGAGAAGAGTTGGATGTGAACACAAAATAAATTGCTCGGCCGCTCGCCTCCTCCTCATGGTGTGACAATGGGCATGCTTTAATCATTCTATTTTCTGGGTGTTATTATTTTCTTTATGCTCTGAATTGTATATAATAGAATCATTTCCCATAAAGACATCTTTATTTTTTATCTTGCCAAGCAAAGTGTAAATTTCAAGTCTTTAACCATCTGTTCCGATGTGTTGGCACTATGCCTGTTTTTTACGCATGAGAAAAACAGGGTTAACCATGAGAGGAAGTTACACCTGCTTAGATTCTGCTGACAGTGCAAAGGTTTGCTGGCTGTTGGAGCCCATGTTGTGTTTGTACGGGGTCGATGGGCACTGAGCTGTGAAGTAAAGTCTTGGTAATGTGGATGGGCATCTTGTCATTCTTTCCTCACTGGTTTCCAGTTCACCCAGCGACCCAGCGTTTTACCAACCCACTTTAGATGAAACCAAGTCCACCTCCACATGACAAAAGCGGGCTGCCAGGTGCAAGGCCCAGTGTTTGGTTGCCAGCCTACTGCTAGCCAGCGCCATTGAAAGAGACTACTGCTAGCTAGCACACTCATGGATATATCCCACAGTGTCTCTGCCACGCTTCCCGCAAATCAGAGACTACAAAGCTGGAAAGTTTAATGATCCAATAGTGAATAAAGACTGCTGCCAGCAAGCTAACCCACTCATGGATGTACCCCACCTTCCCTCTGATTCACTCTCCCTGGGAGGTTTGCTAATTGGATAGGGAAGAAACTGCTGCTAGCTAGCTAGTCCACCCATGGATGTACCCTGCAGACCCTGCAATTAACTCCCCCAGGGAATTGCTACAGCAGTTTGGAAAATAGTGATATGGTCAGCTAAAGGGAGAAAATTTTCAACCAGCTCTGTGTCATTGCAGCGTGGGCGGTGTGTGCGGGTAAAAGTCTAGCAGACCTCTGCCAGCAATTGAGTGGGGAGCTCTAGGTGCTTGCAGCAGTCAGGATGGAGAAGAGGGGGAAGCCCAACACTGCTCATCTGCACACACTGCTGACACTGTAATGACGGTACATAAGCCTTACACTAGCTGCAACATTAAAGTGATGAACAGAGTAATGCATCAATAGTTGTTATTTATACATCAGGAGTACACTCAGTTTGACCTTCACCATATTTATTTTGTCCAACCCACCAAAAATAAACATTATTACAAATACTTTAAAATTATTGTAATTATCAAAAGGAAGAGCAGAAAATCTCCATATTTGTGAAGCTGGAAGCATGAAAATGTTTTTACATACAAAATGGCGCCAAATAGTTTTCTCAAGATTGATTGTTCGATGAACCATTTCAGCTGTACTTGCACATGAGCCAAGGTTTAGTCTGCAAAAACTATACGCTTGTAAAGCTGACATATAATTGTATTGAAGTAAAATTTACAATATTGACCTGTGAGATGTGGTGGAATAGAAGTAGAAAGCGGCACAAGAAGAAAACACTCAAGTAAAGTGCAAGTACCTCAAATTTGGACTGAAGTACAGTCCATCGCTGACTTTTCCTCAAGTAAGACTTTTACTTGCAACAGAGGATTTTTACACTGTAGTATAAATACTTTTACCTAAATAAAACTTTGTATTTCTTCCACTACTGGATGTCTGCAAAACTCTGATGTACTGGCCTAATATCAGCAGGATTAATGCAAGTTCTTCACAAGGTTTTTTTTATCTTTATAAACGGTTGTGTGGCACTCACACAGCCACACCATCAGCCCTGTGCAGTAACATTAAAACAATATTACACTCTAGTCTCGACCAGTGACTGTAAACTAAAGTGTGAACCATTTTCATCATTATTAGGATAAGATCATCCTTTGTTGGTCCCACAGCAGGGAAAATTGTAAAGGGGACTCTGCTAACAGGAAGCATCAGTAAAAGAAAAACAAAAAAACAAACAAACAAAACACACAAAGCAATATAGTAACTCTGAGCAATATAATAAGTGAAGTGTAAGAAAGGAAAATATGATAAAGACAGGCTGGAAACCATTGGAAGTAAAGGCATTGCACAGTTTATCACATACTGATATATCACACATAAGTTATGAGCTATTGATTATATTATATATGAGCAGTGTTGGTTGCATTTTAATCACAATTGCAATTATTATTACTATTAATGTATAACAATAATAAAGATTATTGTTATTTTAGTTTTATTTTAGAACAATAATAATAAAACAACAACAGTAATCATAATATTTCTTTTTCTGTTTTTTTTTTTTAAATTAATTTATAATAATAATAAAAAGTAAAATGTCTATCATTTTTATTTTTATTTTAAGTAGTATGTGGTTCCACGGGTCGTCCTGCAGGTGGCGGTAATGACGTGCCGACAGCCACGAAGAAGAAGAAGCAGCGGTGATGACGCAGGTCTAAGATGGCGGTGCAGGTGGAGTTGTGTTGTTTGGAGAGTTTCCCGGCTCACCTGAGTCCCCTGGATGCTCTCATACTGAAATCTCACCTTAGCTCAGTTTTCCAGGATGACACCGACCCACCGACCGTCCTCTTCACCCCGCAGCGGCCTCGGGGCTCTGGGAGGCCGGGCATTTTACTGCGCGTTCAGCCGACCACCGAGGAGGAGACTACGAGCTGCGGAGCGGGAAACTCCCCCAGAGCCGAGTCCGAGCACCGGGTCCGGCTCTTCACCAGCCGCCTCTTCCTGCGGCTCCACGGACTCCAGCGGGTCGGCAGCACGGGGACCGTCCGGGCTCTGGAGCCGGTCCCCCTGGACAGACTGGTGCTGGGAGCCCGCAGTCGGCAGAGCCTCCGCTGGGCTGGAGCCGAGCAGTTCACCGGAGGGCTGCTGGAGCTCTGCCGCCCGGGACAGTGGCTGCTGGCCCGGCGCGGAGACCCGCTGCTGCTGCCCCGACACCCGCTGCTGGGAGAGGACCCGGGACAGGTGACCGTAAATACCGTCAAGACATCATCAACGGAGCATCTTAAAATAATACTTACATAATAAAACTTCAAATAATCTGAATTATCAAAGCATACCAGATCACAACAATATTAAATACTAATTTATTTCTGATTTAAACGATTAAGTGCCCACACTGTCACACTGTGGGAAAATATCTGTGTATATTATGTTATATTATATTATATTATATTATATTATATTATATTATATTGTATTATATTAGGTGACACCTGTAAATGTAAAAGCATCAAAAATAAAAAAAAAAGTATAAAAAAAATTATTAAATGAGAACTGTTGTCAACTAGAAATGTCAAAAAATGGTTTGATAACAAAAAAAGCCTTAAATATATGTATATGCATAAATATGATTAAACCTTTTTTGTCAGATCAGATGTTTTGTTGTCCTGTAAAAACAGAATTATTAATAATGATAACAATAATGTAATTTTTGAAGGACAAATGCTCATCTTATTTTCTAAGTCCATGATTATGATCTAAACAGTTTAGTTGCTCCAACCAAAGACACAAAGGTATTTAATTCAAACCAGATAAACCAGGAAAAAAAAGCAGCACATCTTCACATTGGAGAATAAAATCAGATAGAGTGGGGAAAAAAAGCCATTTTCTCCTGAGTCATGTCTCAGTGAAAAAGTCTGCCAAACTTATATTTCAACAAACTGGTAATAAAGTTTTCAGGATGCAACAAAATAATTTTCTCTTAAAGAAAAACACAGATTTACATGAAGTCGTCTTTAACGTTGCAGCGTGGACGCACACATGAAGTGAAGCTTGTTTCACGTGTAAAAATGTTGTTAATGTCAGATGTATTGTGACTGTAATGTGTTGTATGTGTGTGTGGACCTCAGAGTAACAGCTAATAACAAACATTAGAAACTCAATCACTTCACTCAGGTGTTAATGTTAAATACGTTCAGTCACTCCTTGTTTTATTAAAAAGCAAGAGTCTTGTCAGTTAGGCTGCTGGCGTCAGCGTCAGCCTGGTTCCCTCGTCGTAAAGCCGATGGGTTCAGTGAGCTACAGTGACAGTTTTGGTCAGTGGAGTCTGGTGCCTTTGACGAGAGGATAGATGAGAAGTGAAGCCTCAAACAGGCTGTCTGACAGAAAGGGAGAGCAGGGAAATACTCTGAATAAAAAAATCAGAACTTTAAGCTTGTGTTGACCACAGACCTGATTTCAGTCATTTAACAGAATAAAGGAAAAAAAACAAAACCCCACAGACTTTGAAGCGAGGGAAGTGCTAACATGCCAACTGCTTCCTGCAGGACGACGCAGCAGCTGGTTTGATGAAGTGTTTTGTGTCTGCAGGTGCAGCAGCAGCTGTTGGAGCTGCTGGTGTTGGACTGCAGTCCTGTAACACAGGGACGGATCACAGCTGACACCTCTGTGGTGCTCACAGACTGCTGGGAGTCAGTGGAGCCCCCAGGGGCCCCCTTGCCCTGCAGACCCGTCACACTGTGTGTGTCAGACTTCGCTCATTACGCCGATGGCCTGGGAGGGGGGCGGTCGCTTCTTGACAGCAGGAAGCTGCTGGGCTCGGGATTCTCCGGCGTCCTGCAGGCGCTGGAGTGCAGGGTGGACGTTCGAGTGGTGGACACTCAGCGGTGGCTCGGGGTCAGAGGTCAGCAGGGAGCTGGCGTGGACGTGGACAGCTGTGTGTTTGTGAGCAAACAGCTGCTCCTCAGGCTGGGGCTGTTCAACCAGGAGTGGGTGAAGCTGTGGGGGCCTCCTGTGGGTCACGGCGACGTGTGCAGGCAGCGGCTGGTCTCCGTGCTGGTGGTGGATTTAACGCAGAGTCCAGACCTGCAGAACCACGACGAGGTAGGTTTCATTTCGCCGACTCTGTGGTTCAACATGACCGGAGGAGACGTGATCCCAGCGAACAGCTGCACTCTGAGGATGAAGGTGCGTCACCACAACACACAGTCCTTGAACACACCAGTGGTCTCCAACCTGGGGATGGGGACCCCCGAGAGGGTCGTGAGGTCAATCTGAACCCCTTTTTACATTTCACGCTGTTATGCCGCCTCGCTGTTCTTTATAAACGATATGATCGTGGAATGGGGGACAGAGTTGTCTCACCTTTAAGCCGTCAGCAGACGTAGTAACAGCACCGAGTCGACGTCGGTATTAAAGCCAGCAGGACCAACATGTTCTCACTCCCAACTCGTCACATGTCGCTGCTTCGTCGATGCACTGTTACGTCCACATATGATGCACTAGGTATCCTCCTGCATCTGTTGTTGACGTTCTGGGACTCCGTATCGGTTTACAGTTGTGTCTTTTCAAAATACACTTCCGTTTTCACAGGAAATGTACAGTTTCAGCTCGTTAGATGCAGACAATTTTTTTTTTTTTTTTTACAATAAACTCACAACGTTGGTAAAACAATTCGTATTTACATTTATTTTCTGGTGCAACAAACACACGTGGTTAAGTTTATAAAAAAATGTCATGGTTTGGCTCTACATGCTCACAGGAAGTGAACTACAGTCTCCTGGGTGAAAGTCCAGGCTCGCCTCATGAAGACTTTCCAGTTCCATTATGTTGTTGTCTGGCGGCATTTCAAGCCAACGCCGTCCTACAGCATTATGAGCTGAAGATGCCCAGCAGTGTACTGTACTGACCTTTTTTCTTCAGTGTCTGACAACTACGGAATGAGAACAAGTTAGCAGGATGGGACAGGTGTAACGTTTCGATGACATGTTATGTGTGCGACCCACTGCAGGAGAATAAGAACAGCAGCTGTCAGCAGTTAGCAGCTAACTCAAAGGAGGAGAACAGCAGCGGAAAATATCCACAAAATGTAAAAACAGTGAGGTCCAGGAGCTCACATGAACACGACAGCATGCCACAGTTGTTTGGTTCTGTGTAAAAATGCGAAGGCAGCGTTGGGATGAGACTTCGTAGCGGCTCTATAGCACCACCTCTGTGTAAAAAAAGGGCTTAAAGGTAAATTTCGGTTTATTGCAACAGAGGCGGTCTTTGTGGAAACAAAGCTTGTTTAGTGGACTAACTTTGCACTTGAAGGTTGCCCGTTCACTTACGTTTTAACAGGTCTGACGCTACGGCTGTATCTAGGCTAACGGCTAACATGCTAACTATTATTTCTATGTCACTAGTCACTTGAAACAAATTTAGGACGATAGGAGACAGGTTGAAATAAACAGAAATTTCCCTTTAAGAGAGTCACAAAATGATTACCAGGACAGGGAGAACAAAAAAAAATATCCTGCACATTTTTTTTTTCTGATCCGCTACAGGTAAATAGATTTCAGGTCAAAAAAGCGCTGAGACATAAAACAGACTGTAAATGCATCACATGATGAAGTTAGTATGAAGTTGTCAGTGCAACAACAGCGTCACTTTCTCTGGTCAACATCTCCTCCTTCTCCAGCTTGTTAGCCTGGAAATCCAGAGTCAAATCTAGAAAGATTTAGAGTCTGGCCCTCACCGATACACCCTTCCTACCCAAGGGGCGGCACTAACTGAGGCATCTCAAATGCTGCCGCACGCAGTTGGATAGCACGATGGCCAATCAGAGCAAAAACAAGGTGACGTATTCATTGCACTAAGCCCCATGTGTTTGCCGACCAGTGAGGCTAACTGATATATTATGCTTTTGCCATATCCCGTCAGCAAAAAGTCAAAAACGTCCTTCCTGGAAGTGAAGGCTTCAGGGCAGTCTTCTGTTCCTCTCTCAAGGAAAAAGATAAGTGTAGCTGGCTTAGTGTTTCTTCCAAAGCTAAACTGAATGGACGCGGTCCTTCGCCAGCTGCCATCTTGGCTGTTTACTTTTTGACTCCAACAGCGCAGTGCTGTCCTCATCATGTTACGCCCGCCCAGAGCCCGCCTCTGTCAGACAGACTGATCTGATTGGTCCGATGGCGATTCATCGGGCTCTGCTCGTCGGGGTCAGATCCCCGTGCAGAGCAAATTAGAATTTGCTGGGGGCGGGGCATCTGGATTTCCAGGTTACCAGCTTGTCTCAGTCGTTCCACGTTTCTGTTTTTACAGATCAAATCTTTAAATACTGTCAGTGAAATGAAGTATTTCCTGCAGATCCTTTCACATTAAAAGCCAACAATTTACAGATCAGTGTTTATATGACTCTGATCATCACAGATGGGCCTCCCACTGTCATGGAATTCCATAATCTCAGTTTCCAGGCCTGGAAAAGTCATGAGATTTGTAAAGTCCTTAAAAGTATTGGAAAAGTTATTGAGTTTTGTTGTGTTCAATTTTAATGTGACACTAATCTTCCATGGATAACCATCAATGTAACGAAACACAACAGCAAATTTATTTTCTGTAGCTTCTGAAGCAATGCAGCTCTGCTCCGTGTCGCTTTGTGTCGATGCGTGATCTTTGTTACGATCACGTACGTTTCTTCATTTTCTCCCTGCGGTCCATCTCTCCCTCCACGCGTGCCAGTTGGATGGAGTTACGTTTGAAGAGAGTTTGAATGTGACATGTTTGAATAACGCCAGTCTAGGAAAATAATGTGACTGGGTGATTTAACATGTAGGGTTGTGAATCCTAAAGTTTCTGTAGCCCACTGACACTTTTAGATTGTGCTGCATTTTTGAAACTAAGCAATAAACATGATCAGCCCAAGGCGTTTGGTTTTAACTGCACTGAAAGTACAGCGTGGTAGTTTGAAGGTACGGAGCTTTTTTTTTTTTTTTTTTTTTCCAAACAAAATAACCAGCGGGCCGACTGAGCACTCAGCTGTCACTCCTCCACTCTGGGATTCTACTGCTCCATGTCTGTCAAGCGCCTTTAATCATTTAATTAACATTTGGAGTTAAGGTTTGTACAGGTTTGTTTGTGTTACACGTTGTGAATAATCATGGAGTTTTTTATTATCGGTCCTTAAAAAAAGTTTTTATGCCTCCATGCCGGCGATAGCTGCGGCCAGAGGTGTTTTCTGCTTGTTGGTACATCTGTCCCATCCTTGTGAACAATTCCCTCAAGGGAATTTCTTCAGATTTGGCACAAACGTTCACTTGAGACCACTGAAAAATAAACTGATTAGAATTTAGTGTTTGAAGGTCAAAGGTCATGTTTCAGGTCATGTAAATCAATAATTCATGCGCTAATTATGACAAAACTTGACACACATGTCTAACAGAGTAAAATAATGAAGGTCAAAAGGTCCATGTTTTCACAGACATGAATGGAAAGTGGTGAGCGGAGTCAAACAACCACTGGGCTGTAATTCTAGTTTTCCATGAAAATGTGGGGGGTCCCTGAGCCACAACCAGAAGACTTTTAATGTGAAAGATGTGCAGGAAGTGTTGAGTCACTGTGACACAGAAAACGTGTAATCATGATTAGTGAATGTTGATGTGTCTGATCATCCTGGTGTCCTCTCCTTGTGTCTCAGAGGTGGAAATCGTCTCCTGCTTCTGCTGTGCCAGGCGCTCGACACTCTGACAGTTTCTGTCGCTCAGCCTCTCCAGCGTTCGCCAGCAAGATTCACATCCAGCCGGTTGTGTCTCCACTGTACAACAACATCAGCTGCTGCGACAACCTGCTGTCTGCACACTTCAGTACGCCAAGGTCAGCCTCTGTCACACACTGTGTCCCCGTTTCACACTGCTTCACTAACTGCATGTGGTATTAGTGACTAAATCATTGATTCCCAACCTGGGGGCTCTGACCCTTATTAGGGGTCACCAAAGCTACATGGGGGGCCCAGAGGCCTTCTGGATTTTAAGAGGTGTAAGAAAATGTTTTAAAAAATATATAGCAGGCTTGTAAACTTGGAACCTGAACAATTTCAGTGAACATGTCTTGTATCATAAATGGAAGATGTTTTCAGAGGGATTAGGGCACGATGTCTGCAAAATATGTTACAGATATCTACAGAATATAAATGACCTCACACAGGAGCAGACTCCCAGTCTGACCAGTTTGTCCTCTGCTTCTGTGCAGACTGGTTTCACAGGGAGACATCCTGACAGTTCCTGCTGAAAATCATCCCGACCTGCTGGAGAACAACTCAGAGGGAATTCACAGGTACCACACATCCGTCCACAAACATACGTCCACGTTCGTTCATCTGCCTGCTGAAGGCTGCAGAGGACATGTGGTGGATTCAGAGTATTTTCAGGGTTCCTACGCAGTTTGGAAAAGAATGGAATTTGATTGAGTCGTTTCCAGGTTTGGATTAGTGTGGGAAAAAACAGGAAAGAATGGAAACTATTAGTGTTCCCAGGCCCCTGTTCTCTTTTCTAAAATATAAAACTCAGAATTTCGAAAATGACAAGAAACGAGTGTTTCTGATGGTGTTTGGAGCCGGTTGTGCGACTGAGCGCTGAGCTGCCTCTACGCCTGTGCGTCACAGCCTTTTAAACAGCTCTGACCCAGGTACTTTGTAATTGAACCAAATCCAGACACCTGTGACCTCATGACTTTGAAAGAAAACGAGGCAACATCTTTGAATTGTAGGATACGTAGCATCAGAAACATTTCTGCTGTGATGTAATTATCAGGAAAGTAAACAGATGATCTTTTCTGTGTAAGGAAACCGTACCGTCGTCGTTTCTACGTTTTTTTCAACCTATATTCAGTTGAATGCACACATATTTAATGTTCAAACTGATAAACTTTATTGTTCTCTGTAAATCTGCAGCAGGTTGTAATAAAGCTGTGACAGGAGCCTGTTTCCTGTCACTGTGTGACATCATCACCTCAGTCAGTGTTTGGGAACTGAGGACACTAACTGTTGAAGTTCATCTGACTTCAGTGTCTCAACAGTCCCATGATGCACCTCTCCGGGGTCGACGCTTCATCATGTCCCACACATGTCCAGTGGGAGACAGGTGTGGACTGCAGGCAGGTCAGTCTGGTACCTGCACTCTGTCACTACGGAGACACGCTGTTGGAACACGTCACAACATGTCTCGATGTCTCGCTGGAAGAAGACGGGACGTCCCTGAAAGAGACGGCGTCTGGATGGCAGCATATGTTGCTCCAAAACCTGGATGGACCTTTCAGCATTCATGGAGCCTTCACAGACAGGAAGTTACCCATGATGCACCTCTCCATCCCATCACAGACAGGAAGTTACCCATGATGCACCTCTCCATCCATCACAGACAGGAAGTTACCCATGATGCACCTCCACCCATCACAGACAGGAAGTTACCCATGATGCACCTCTCCATCCCATCACAGACAGGAAGTTACCCATGATGCACCTCCACATCCATCACAGACAGGAAGTTACCCATGATGCACCTCCACCCATCACAGACAGGAAGTTACCCATGATGCACCTCCATCCATCACAGACGCTGGTAACAATCTGGATGGTCCCAGAGGACAGGACGTCCATTTGCTGGTCAGAGTCCGTCTCACATGAGCTCGGGCTCAGAAGTGGGCGGAGCCTGGTAGAGTCTGAACTGTCATTGGTAGTTGCAGCGATGTGTTTACTGACAGTGGTTTCCCAAAGTGTTCCTGAGCTCATCATGTTGGTTTGTAATGCAGAGCAGTGTGAGGGGTCAAAGGTCACGGACATTCAGTGTTGGTTTTCAGCTTTGCCCCTGACACGCAGAGATTTCTGCAGATTCTCTGAATCTTTTAATAATATTATGGACTGTAGACGTGAAATCCGTAAATTCTGTGAGTTGATAAATGTTCTCAAACTGCCGAACTGTTTGTTCACAGTTTTTAGTAATTTGACGTCTCTGCTTGTGAACAGCGGAGCCTGTCAGGATGCTGCTTACACATGCAGTCATGATATTATCACCTGTTAGCACTGAACCTGTTTACCTGCTGAATGACGTCCTCCCCAGTTTTTGTTTCTCCTGTACAAACTTTATTAGAACATGTCACAGCATCAAATTCCTAACGAGTGTTGATTTACAAAAAACAATAACGTTTATCACTTTGAACATTAAACATTTCGTCTCTGCTGGATTCAGTCGGCTAAAGGTCCAAAAGATTTGCAAATCATTGAATTCTATCTTTATTTACATCTTACACAGCGTCCAGACTTCTTTGGAATCAGGGTTGTGAATTCTCCTGTACTGTTGATACATGATGAGTCTGTGTGACCTTTGACCTCCGTCAGGTGTCCAGTGCTGTTCTTCAGAGTGCAGAAGGTGTGTCCGTCTGCAGAGACAGAAGAAGAGGGAGGAGGAGGAGCTTACCTGGCTGACAGACTGCACACCTCTCTCTACATGGTGACCTTTGGCCTGTGTCTGTGTGTAACAGCAGCCCCTTTTACACAGAGGTGGCGCTATAGAGCCGCTACGAAGTCCTGTCTTTATGCCACCTATTTATTTTTACAGAGCTAAATGACCTCAGCGTCATGCCACTGGTGTGATGTCAGACAGCCTGATGACATCATGGAATCAAGAGAGGCATGACATGTAACACACCAGCGTCGTCCTCTAGTGTGACATATATCATACGTGTCAGCAGCTCTTTATTAACAATAACAATGACATCACATGTCAATAACAATCATTTAGCGTCCCTGTTATATGGCGGCTGATCTCGCCCTCTGCTCGGAGGGTAAGGAGCTCCTGGACCTCAATGATTTCACTGTTTGTGGACATTTTCAGCCGCTGTTCTTTTTTGATTTAGCCGCTAACTGCTAACAGCTACTATTTAAAGCCGCTACAAGGAACTTTTAACTGGACATGCAAAAGTCTCTGGTTTCTGCTGATGTCTGTGCGTGACCTACAACAGCAAATGAGACCATCGGAGTGAAGATAAGCTATTTCTATATAGTGTATATCCATATCTTTAGGAAACTGTCTCCGGGTCCGCCCCAGGTCGCTTCCAGGACGAAATGATTTACGGCACTCAGACGGCACACGTCATCTTACCTAGCTGCTTACATTTAGTGACTCTTATAAATAGTCGCTATTCCTCCTCCTCGACCCGACGTCCGCGGGGAGTTAAAATAGCAGCAATCATCGGGTAAAAGTTCTGTGAAAGCACTGGACTCACCAACAGTCAGCCACGTCTCAGTCACACAGAGAAAATCCAATCCTCGGGAAGTCAGGAAATCCTTCAGGATAAACGTTTTGTTCGCTAGCGATCTAGCATTTACCAGCCCAATCCTGGCAGGAGCCGGTGGGTCCACGGCGTTAGCTGTCCGGGGAACCACACACAGAGGCCGCAGGCTGTGCAGATTCACCCCGCGCCAAAGGGGACTAGGAGAGCAGGGGCCGCGGGGCTGGAACACCTCATCCGGGCCGACGACAGGTACCAGCCAGGCGTCAACAGGGTCCAGTGAGTGCCGAGATATAAAGAGGCGAGGCACCGCTCCATACTCAGTCCAAGAAGCCGTGGAAGTGCTCACCAAACAGGCCTTCAGCCTTACCAGCCGACCGCTGCGTTTACCCGGCGGCGGTGGCGCTTACACCGGAGAGGTGGAGCTGGGGCGCGGCAGAGGTGAGCTGGGATCCCCGATAGGAGTGGGGCAAAGTTTTCCCGTCTCGTTGTTTCATTCATCCCCAAAACAAACACATGCACGAGCCAATTAAGCGTCTTTACGACAATACGCGCTAGAGCTCATGGGAAATGTAGGCTTCATTCCGGCAAAACACTACCGCTTTTCGCTTGTTGCCAAAATCAACTCAAAATGAAAGTTCCTTGTAGGGGCTTTAAATCTCCCACCGTGCGTTGCAGATTTAACACCTCATCAAAATGTCACACCTGTGCTGCCCATGATCCCGTCCTGCCGCCTGTCCCGTTAGTACAGACATCATTTCAGCGCCATTACTACCTCCGTTCTGGCTCAGGTGCGAAATAACTCCATTCCACGATCAAACCTGGTATACAGAACGGCGCGGTGGCGTTACGGCGTGATATTCCCGCCCTGATATTCCCGCCCTGAACAGGCTGTATAAAAGGGGCTAGTGTGTGTCAGAGTGTGTGTGTCTCTGGTGGCTGACTGTGTGTGTGTGTCCTCAGAGAGCGTCCACCAGCAGCCCCGTCCCCTGTCTCTGTGTGGACGGCGGCTCGTCTCTGTGGAGCAGTCTGTCTCCTCCGGGCCTCACTCAGACCGTGGAGCTCCTCAGCAGCATCATCCTCCCTCACCTGCAGCACAGGTAAGTCACCTGTGTGCTGCCAGCTCGGACAGGAAGTACTGTAGAGAGAAGCATGCTGGGACATGTGCTTAGTAATGTCACTGTTTTGTCTGGTTGTAGCAGCTCTCTGTCTGGCTGCACCATCCTCCTCCACGGTCCTGCAGGAAGTGGAAAAGTAACTTCGGTCAGCGCTGCGAGCCGCAGGCTAAACCTTCACCTGCTGAAGGTATGATGTTTTCTCCTCCTCCTCTTCTGAACCTCCATCTGCAGAAGGTGCGTCTTCTTCTTCTTCTTCTTCTTCTTCCTGTTCTTCTTCTTCTTCTTCTTCTTCTTCTTCTTCTTCCTGTTCTTCTTCTTCTTCTTCTTCCTGTTCTTCTTCTTCCTGTTCTTCTTCTTCTTCCTCCTCCTCTTCCACATTAGTGATGTCATCATCCATCTGATTATAACACAGCTACGCTCAGGAACAGCCGGCTTTTCAAAATAAATGCAGCTTATTCTCATGACATGTTCCTCCTTCAGTGTGTGTGTAGATACACTTCCTGTTGTTACCTGTGTGCAGGTAGACTGTGTGAGTGTGTGTGCTGACACTCCTGCAGCGTCGGAGGTGAAGCTGAGCTCGGTGTTTCAGCAGGCCGACGCCCTGCAGCCCTGCGTCCTGCTGCTCAGGAACCTGCAGCTCCTGCTCACGGCTCGAGGAGGTGCAGAGGAGGACGGCAGAGTCCAGGTGGCGCTCTGCCAGCTGCTCCACAGCGCCCCCAGCAGGTCACTGACCGCCTCTAACCCTCACACTGTAACACTGATCTGTGATCAGGTCAGCCAGCTCATGTTGTCTCAGTTATCGACAGGAAGTACCTCAGACCACCATCATTTGATCCTGAACTCCAATCAGCACGTGAACTCCTTCTGAGGTTAATTAAAATGTAATTAGTGGTTTTAATTGAGGTAAATTTGAAGCTGTGAATGACTTCCCCTTCTCTGTCGAGGTATGACGGCCGTCGGTTGAAGTGAATCATGCCTCAGAGGGAAAGTAACACAGCTGTCTTTGTGTTTCAGTGTGGTGGTGGTGGCGACGGTCTGCAGACCTCGGGAGCTGTCTGCAGGAGTCATGGCGGCGTTTGTCCACCAGGTGGCGTTGGAGAGCCCCACCGAGGAGCAGCGGCACTCCATACTGGTCAGCCTGAGCCAAGACCTTCACCTGGGGAGAGACGTCAACCTGGAGAGACTCGCCAAACTCACTGCAGTACGTCACTGTTAGCAGTCAGGACCCAGACCAGTATAGACCAGTATAGACCAGTCATAGATAGAAAAGTGATAGAAAAGGGGTCCTTTAAAATGGCTGTGAGAGAAGAGCTGTGTGCAGAGGGTGTTTTAATTTAGTCTAAACTCAGACAGTGAGAATGTCCACCAGTGATTCCTCCTCCTCCTCCTCTTCCTCTCCCTCCTCAGGGGTTCGTGTTGGGGGATCTGAGTGCTCTGTTGGTGGAGGCTGGTCGAGCTGCCTGCAGGAGGCTGATTCACACCTGGTGAGACTAAATGTTAAAGATCGTAGGCGAGGCTGTGGTGATAAAATAAATTTGGGATGAACTATGAGCTGCAGCGATTTACGGGTTCTAAGGTATACTGTGATGTAAAAGTTGACAGTTATCCCACCTTATCTACGATATAGGAAAAACTGTGACTGGACAGAGAATCTCTACTTTATCTGAGTTGCTTTCTAAGAGGAGACTTTTTACACAAACTTCCATCAACGAAATGGTTTCAGGTTTCAGTATTTGTAATAAAACGTGTTACGCCTCTGTTTTTATTCTGATTGATAATCATCTAAGTTCTTTGATACCATGATACAGTCAAACCTGCGATACTTTCTGAGATCATTATCGTAGCATGAAAATCTCACACCGTGCAGCCCGAGGATTAACCCCACCTTACATCACGTGACTCCCAGCTTCTTTCTCCAGTGTGAATTTGTCCTGCTTGTCCTCTGTCTTCTGCGTCTTTAACTGACAGTGTTCATTTCAGAGGAGAGTTCTCAACGGGCAGAAAAAATTACAACCTGAACCGACCCGCATGAGCTGAAGCCCAAACACGACCTGTCCGACATCATCAACATAAAATACTGAGCCTGAGCTCAACCAAACCCGACCCCCCTCCCAAATGCACGAGTTAGATTATAACGCCCAGGACACACTGGCTGTGTGGTGGCACAAACCACGCGCTTCTCCATTGGAAAATGAACCAGCTCAGGGTGCCCACTAGCTGACCTGGTAAAGCAGGCACCCAATGTACAAAGGCTATGTCCTTGCCACAGTGGCCGCAGGTTGGATTCCAAACCATGACACTTTGCTGCATGTCATCTCCCCTCTCTCCCCCCCTTTCACGATATAGCTGTCCTATTGAACAAAGGCCAAAAGTCCCCAAAAATATCTTTAAAATAAAAGACAAGTGACCAGCTCAGTGGATCACCGACTCTCCATGGTGTATTTCCCCACCAGTGAAACTCTCTGCTCCGGCTGGGAGGAGGGACAGAACCTGCCTGCTCCCCAACCCTTCTCCCCCTCCCTGGACTTTTTAATATGTTTATATATTTACATTTTTTTTCCACAGCCCAACCCGGCCAATCAGCACACATTTTCAGCCCGAGCCCAGCGCAACCTGTCGGACGTTTTGGGACCCGTCGGGCTCAGGTTGAGATTGAGAACTCTAGTTCAGAGCAAAAAACGGTTTGGTCGGTGCAGACTGTAAGAATTATGTTTATCTTCTTAAGAGCGTTATAACGTGTGTGTGTGTGTGTGTGTGTGTGCACGCACGCGCAGTGGTTGTCAGCAGGAGGAGGATCTGTGCTCCAGTGGAGTGACCATCCTGAACCAGGACTTCACCTCCGCCCTGGAGACCCTGCAGGACGCCCAGTCCACGTCCATTGGAGCCCCCAAGGTGATCACACAATGAGCCTGTAAAACAGTTCCTATGATGTAATGTGTCTGTGGGCTTGTTGAGGAGTTCCTCTGCCTGCTGCTGACCTAAACATGAATGACTGCATCATGAAGAAACCAGCCAGGTGTTGTATGATGTCCTCTCTGACTCTGACCCCGCTGCTGGTGGAACTCTTTTGTGTGAACAGATCCCTGATGTGCGTTGGGAGGATGTTGGAGGTCTGCAGCAGGTGAAGAAAGAGATCCTGGACACAGTTCAGCTTCCTCTGCAGAGACCAGAGCTCCTGTCCCTGGGTCTGAACCGGACTGGAGTCCTGCTGTATGGACCACCGGGAACAGGGAAAACTCTGCTGGCCAAAGCTGTGGCTACTGAGTGCTCCATGACCTTCCTCAGGTAGACACACCTTCACCTTCCTCAGGTAGACACTCCTTCACCTTCCTCAGGTAGACACACCTTCACCTTCCTCAGGTAGACACTCCTTCAGCTTCCTCAGGTAGACACACCTTCACCTTCCTCAGGTAGACACTCCTTCACCTTCCTCAGGTAGACACACCTTCGCCTTCCTCAGGTAGACACTCCTTCAGCTTCCTCAGGTAGACACTCCTTCACCTTCCTCAGGTAGACACTCCTTCACCTTCCTCAGGTAGACACACCTTCGCCTTCCTCAGGTAGACACTCCTTCACCTTCCTCAGGTAGACACTCCTTCACCTTCCTCAGGTAGACACTCCTTCACCTTCCTCAGGTAGACACTCCTTCACCTTCCTCAGGTAGACACTCCTTCACCTTCCTCAGGTAGACACTCCTTCACCTTCCTCAGGTAGACACTCCTTCACCTTCCTCAGGTAGACACTCCTTCACCTTCCTCAGGTAGACACTCCTTCACCTTCCTCAGGTAGACACTCCTTCACCTTCCTCAGGTAGACACTCCTTCACCTTCCTCAGGTAGACACTCCTTCACCTTCCTCAGGTAGACACTCCTTCACCTTCCTCAGGTAGACACTCCTTCACCTTCCTCAGGTAGACACTCCTTCACCTTCCTCAGGTAGACACTCCTTCACCTTCCTCAGGTAGACACTCCTTCACCTTCCTCAGGTAGACACTCCTTCACCTTCCTCAGGTAGACACTCCTTCACCTTCCTCAGGTAGACACTCCTTCACCTTCCTCAGGTAGACACTCCTTCACCTTCCTCAGGTAGACACTCCTTCACCTTCCTCAGGTAGACACTCCTTCACCTTCCTCAGGTAGACACTCCTTCACCTTCCTCAGGTAGACACTCCTTCACCTTCCTCAGGTAGACACTCCTTCACCTTCCTCAGGTAGACACTCCTTCACCTTCCTCAGGTAGACACTCCTTCACCTTCCTCAGGTAGACACTCCTTCACCTTCCTCAGGTAGACACTCCTTCACCTTCCTCAGGTAGACACTCCTTCACCTTCCTCAGGTAGACACTCCTTCACCTTCCTCAGGTAGACACTCCTTCACCTTCCTCAGGTAGACACTCCTTCACCTTCCTCAGGTAGACACTCCTTCACCTTCCTCAGGTAGACACTCCTTCACCTTCCTCAGGTAGACACTCCTTCACCTTCCTCAGGTAGACACTCCTTCACCTTCCTCAGGTAGACACTCCTTCACCTTCCTCAGGTAGACACTCCTTCACCTTCCTCAGGTAGACACTCCTTCACCTTCCTCAGGTAGACACTCCTTCACCTTCCTCAGGTAGACACTCCTTCACCTTCCTCAGGTAGACACTCCTTCACCTTCCTCAGGTAGACACTCCTTCACCTTCCTCAGGTAGACACTCCTTCACCTTCCTCAGGTAGACACTCCTTCACCTTCCTCAGGTAGACACTCCTTCACCTTCCTCAGGTAGACACTCCTTCACCTTCCTCAGGTAGACACTCCTTCACCTTCCTCAGGTAGACACTCCTTCACCTTCCTCAGGTAGACACTCCTTCACCTTCCTCAGGTAGACACCCCTTCACCTTCCTCAGGTAGACACTCCTTCACCTTCCTCAGGTAGACACTCCTTCACCTTCCTCAGGTAGACACCCCTTCACCTTCCTCAGGTAGACACTCCTTCACCTTCCTCAGGTAGACACCCTTTCACCTTCCTCAGGTAGACACACCTTCACCTTCCTCACGTAGACACTCCTTCACCTTCCTCAGGTAGACACTCCTTCACCTTCCTCAGGTAGACACCCCTTCACCTTCCTCAGGTAGACACTCCTTCACCTTCCTCAGGTAGACACTCCTTCACCTTCCTCACGTAGACACTCCTTCACCTTCCTCAGGTAGACACTCCTTCACCTTCCTCAGGTAGACACCTGTCCGAAAAATAACAGTCAGAACAAAACACAGGTGACATTTTCATGCAGGTGACTTTAATGTGTGTGAACCTGTTTGTGTGTTTCAGTGTTAAAGGTCCGGAGCTCATCAACATGTACGTGGGTCAGAGTGAAGAGAACATCAGAGAAGGTCTGTTTTCACCTGAAGGATCCTTCTGCTTCATTTCAACCTGAACTCACTGAGTTAATGTTAGTGTGTGTGTGTGTGTGTGTGTGTGTGTGTGTGTGTGTTCAGTGTTCTGCAGAGCGCGCTCAGCTGCTCCGTGTGTCGTCTTCTTTGATGAGCTGGACTCTCTGGCTCCCAGCAGGGGGCGCAGTGGAGACTCTGGAGGGGTGATGGACAGGTGAGTGTTTACCTGCCCTGATTCCAGCTGTGTCACTGTGTGAATGAACTTTGCAATCTTTTATAGACGTAGTTATTGACTTCTTTTACCACACCTTCTCTCTTGTTTTTGTACTGTTTGTTTAGTTTTATTATCCAGTTATTCATTTAGACTTTTGGTTCATTTTTTTTTCAATTATTTAGAGTTTATGTTTTGTTTTATTTACTCTTTTATTTAGACTTTTTTTTATATGTTTTATTTATTTAGATTTTTTTGTTAATTTTTTAATATTAAAACTTTTTGTTAATTTTCATTACATTTTTTATTTATTTATTATTCTTGTTTTGTTTTATTTATTTAAATATTTAGGCATTTGTGTATTTTATTTCATGTGTTATTTATTCATACTTTAAGTTTTGTTTTATTTATTTATAATTTTGTTAAGTTGTATTTAGGTATTTGTGTTTGTTTAGTTTTTTTATGAAGTTATTTTTGTGTGTCTGTTTCTTTTGTCTTTTATTGTGACGTCGTCTGTGACATCAGGATCAATAAAGTTTGAGTGAATCTCTCCGTACAGAGTCGTGTCTCAGCTGCTGGCCGAGCTCGATGCTCTGCACTCGTCTGTTGGGGTTTTTGTGATCGGAGCGACAAATCGTCCGGACCTGTTGGACCAATCACTGCTGAGACCGGGCAGGTCAGAGGTCACACACACACGCACACACACACACACACACACACACACACACACACCTCAGTGTTTCCCACAGGATTTTGGGAAACTATGGGGAGGGCGACCCCCGAAGAAAATTTTGAACATTGTAAATTGAAATGAATTTGTATACAAAATGTACTCTTTATAGAGTATGTAATCATCAAGTTTTGAAAAAGTATTGCAATTTAATTTTGTCTTTAATGTTATTATCTTATATTAACTTTGTAATATGATTATCTTATATAATGTTATTACTATCCTAAAACATTCTCCAGGTCCTCTGTAACTCTGCAGGACTGCAGCAGCAGTACTGTGGCGAACGGTCCCTAACTGCGGGGAGAACGGAGCAGGCCTCCCCGGAGGTCCGCCGCTTTTCCCGGTCCCTCTTCTACATACTTTGGGCTCTAGTTTCGCAGACCGGGCGAGGCGGGGGCGCAGCGCACCTCCGCTTCGCCAACTGGGTGTGGTCAGGCAGATTTTGTAAGTTTGGCACACCGTGCGCGCTGGCGCAGCTACTCCTCTTTCCCACCTCCGTCCGTCCTACCTCAGCAAGTCGGAAAGAGGGAGGAGAGCAGGCGTGGAGTGGGTTTTACACACATCACACCAATCAAATGAGCCCCTCTCCTCGCCCTTAAATGCGCCGCACGAAAGCGTAATGAGAGTTTACTGAATTCGCCATGGCAGAAGAGAGCAACAGCGTCAGACGACCAAACTTCTCCCAGGAGGAAACTGATGTTTTGGTCTGGGAGGTCCAAGCTCGCAGTGTCCGAATATACAGAACTGCGAGCAGACCTCCACGGGCTGATGATGCAAAGGTAGCCTGGGAGGAGGTCACCACAA